AATGAATTTGTTTTCCAAGTTCCAATTAAAATTTGGCCAATCGAACATGGCCTAAGCATTTCTACGGACTTCATGGAAGTGACAGTACCTTTCGCTTTCTCATATTTTCATGGAAGTGAAAATAAGTAACTTTATCTTCGAAAGCTCAACGAGTTTCCTTGACCACATGGTGGCTTCCCAGCTTCTTTGGCAGCACATAATTTTCATCTTTGATCCATGTGATATCTCTAAATTAGAGTGTATGCTAAAACACTGTCATGCATGTTGTGTCAAACTGCAAGTAATGTATTTTTGTTGGAGGAGAGCACATGCAAATCACCATTCCCTCAAAAAATTAACAAAGTTAAGTTATAGTTCTATCCAAAAAAATTAAAATTCAGTGACGGCGTCACGCTAACATGAGTTTAAACATGCATATGTTATTTATCTCTATAGAAATTGTAAATCTAACTTCCAAATTCTATTTCTCAAATTTATTCTCTCTTTGTATGGCCCCGTCACCTTTTTCATATTTTAAATTGTTGAATTAAGAAATATTCAAAACAATAAATAAATAAATTGAGAAGAATGTATTTCTTCTTTTCTCCCAACTAACATTCAAATTCCTCACAAACATTAACTTAAAACCTAAAAGCGTGAAACCAAAAAAGTCCCAAGAACACAAATCCTATTGGAAAATAATCAGCCAGCCAAACAAGGCAGCCAGCAAAGAGGAACAAGCCAGGCAAACAAGGACTAGTAGCAGACAAGAAACGGCCATGCTGCAGGACTACCAGCTAACAGAATTGGGAAGATTCTAGATGANAGAATCTAATGCTGGGAATACACAAACTCAAAATCAAAATCCAAACTCATCGGACAACTCTTCAAATGCTGTGGTTCATGAGCTTTCACAGCCAAATAGCCCTTTCTTTATTGGGAGCAATGACCATACTAGAGCCTTGCTGGTTACTCACACTTTGGATTCTAACAACTATCACTATTGGGCAAGGTCAATGAAAAGGGCATTAAGGATTAAAAATAAGTTGGGTTTCATCATTGGCATTTTGAGAGAACCAGCAGATTCGAGTGATCCACTCATGGAACACTGGTTAAGGTGCAACGATCTAGTGATCACATGGATGCAAAACACCATGGCTATTGACATTAAGTGTAGCACAACCTATACTGAAACTGCACAGCAACTGTGGACAAAACTTGAGCAATGTTTTGCTCAACAAAATGCACCTCGAATCTTTGAAGTCAAGTAGGCCATTATCATGTTGGTGCAAGGCCAAGATGCTGTCAACGCCTATTTCTCGAAATTCAAAACTCTCCTGGATGAACTCATGAACTATGAAGCTATCCCTAATTGCAGCTATGGAGGATTAGAGATTGTTTTCCTTAATCAACAAAGAGATTGGGTTATGAAGTTCTTGATGGGGTTAAATGACTCATATAAAGAAATCAAGGCACAAGTTCTGTTAATTAAGCCTTTTCCTAGCCTCAA